AAACAGTACAAAACAACCAGAATGCCTCTTTCTTTATCGACTGTCCCAGCCCCACTCCACAGAAGAGAGTAATTACATTTCACTAGATTGAAGCACTAGCTTACCTGGGGAGCCTTCCACCCACATACACATGCCCAGGACCTACCTCCTAGAGATTACAATTCAGTAAGCCTAGAATGTGGCTCATTTCTTAATTAAAAACTATAGATTCAGGAAGACTAAGTTTAATTAGCATACAAATAATAATGTTAATATTTTTATTTAAAATATTTTTACATTCTGATGTATGTCTATCCATTCTAATGAATGAAAACTATTACTCATTCATTCACCTAACATTTATTGAGCATCTTACAATGTGAATACCAGGCAAGGTTCAAGGCCCTTGGAATGCAGCAATGACAAGACTTATATCTGTGCTCCATGGAACTTCTACTTCACTGGGCAGACAGAACATAAGTCAGATAAATAATACCATTTCAGATACAAATAAATTCTATAAAGAGAAATAAAGCTGGATAGGGGTTAGAAAGCATCTGAAGGGCACCACACACCTATTTCAGATGAGATGGTCAAGGAAAATCTTTGGGAGGAGGCAACATATGAGCAGAGAGCTGAATGATGAAGACTTGGGGAAGGCAGAAGGAACAGCAAATTTAAGGTCTCATGGTATTGTCTGATCCATGTTTGGCTGGGGGCTACTACATGCAATGGGCTTTCTGACCTCAAAAAACTAAATATCGAAGTAAGACCTGCCAATACAAAGCTTGGATGTCAAAATAAATGTTTCTGGCAATAATGCTATGAAATTTAAAAATTATGGAATGGCTCAGACAGGGAAGGAGGCAAAATCTAATTTAACCTGGACCTTAATGGATGACTATAATTCCAGTTCACAGAAATGAGGGAAGGAACTTTTCATCAGAGGCAAAAGCACAAACAGAAGCACAGGAACTAAAAGTACAAAGACAAACCTAAATTATCAGATAAGCCTGTTGACCAAAATTAGAGAATGTTAAGGTGCAAATGTAGGTTACAATTAGGACAAGAATGCCTTTACCCAGTTTCATCTAGAAAACCCTATTTATCTAAGACCCAGCTAATAAAGGCAGTTTCTCTATGAAGGACACGCTAACTCTGGAAAGCAATTACTGACTGCTCTGCTATGTTGCCGCCCACATCTCTCTGGTCTGGTCTAACAAAATCAACATTCTTCGTCAACTGCCAACTCTGTTCACACAGTTCCTAACACACAAGCAGTGTACAAAATATATTTGTTCAATCAACTAGAGTAAAATGGGATGGAAGGTCCATAAATTAGAAAACTCAACACAGTAAAGATGTCAGTTCTCTCTGAATTGATCTAGGTTTAATATGATTCCTATCAAAATCCCAGCAAGTTCTATTTTGTCTGTGTCTATTTTGTGAAACAGACCCACCCAAACACGTCCTACTGATTTTTGACAGAAGTGCCAAAGTAATCGATGAAGGAAGAGACAGCTTTTTCAACCAATGGTGCTACACCAACTAGACATCCATAGGCCACACACACACAAAAATTAACTCAAAATGGATCATGTACTTAAATATAAAACATAAAACTATAAAATTTTTACAAGAAAAAAATCTTTCTGATCTAGTGCTATGCAGACTTTTGATGTGAAAACACAATCTATGAAAGGAAAGATGGACAAATAGGACCTCAACAAAACTAAAAACTTGCGCTGTACAAAAGACCATGTGAAGAGGTTAAAAGACAAACTATAGACTGGGAAAAATATTTGCAAATCAAATATCTGACAAAGAAATAGTACTTGGAATACATAAAGAACTCTAAAAACTCAACAGTAAAAAAAAAAACGAACAGCCCAATTAGAAAGTGGGCAAAAGACATGTACAGACATTTCACTGAAGAGGTTATACAAGTGGCAAACACATGAAAAGATGTTCAATATCATTAGTCATCAAGCAAATGAACATTAAAACTGCAATGAGATAGTACTATACATGTTAGAATACCTAAATTAATTAAAACACGAAACAAAAATGCTGATGAGGATGCTTGGCAACTGTTACAGAAAATAAAACCACAATAAGGTATCACTACACACTTACTAAATGTTTAAAATACACTAAATATTGACAGGGATGCAGAGAAACCAAATCACTCATATATTGCTAGTGAGAATGTCAAATAGTATAACTTGAGAAACAGTTTGGCAGTTTCTTAAAAAAGTTAAACATGTGACCACCATATGACCCATATGCACTCTTATGTACACAAATATTCACAGTTAAAACCAGGAAAAAACCCAGATGTTCTTAAGTGAGTGGTTAACAAACTGTGAAACACCCATACAATGGAATAATACAACTCAGCAATAAAAAGGAAAAAAACTACTGACACATACAACTTGGATGAATCTCCAGAGTATTATGCTGAGTTTAAAAAAAAAGCCAGTCCCAAAAGGTTATATACCATGCTCTTCTATTTATGTAACATTCTTGAAATGAAAAAATATAGAAGTGGAGCCCAGATCAATCACTGCCAGGGATAAGAGGGGCTGAGAGCAGAAGGGAAGCAGGTGTGGCTATGAAGGGCAGCACAAAGATCCTTGTGCTGTGGAAATGCCCAGTATTCCAACAGTACTGATGTCAATTCCCTAGCTGATACAGTACTACAGTTTGTGAGATGTTACCATTGGGAGACACTGGGCAAAAGGTTGGTGAGCTCTTTGGATTATTTCTTACAATTGCATGTGATTCTACAATTACATCAAAAAAGTTTTTAAATAAAAAAAAGAATAGAAGGCAAAGAAGTTTATCTTAGCAGGAAAAAGATGCTTTTGGAGGGGGAAAAAAAAAGAGAAAATAGGTTGACAGAGGCAGAGTATCCAAAAGGGGAGTGGGGAGGATCTTATCTCTGAGCACAAGTTCAATGCTAACCGGGTTAGAAGGAATGAGAGGTTATCAAAGAGAAAGAAGTTCAGATGGCAGAAGTGGGAGCTTTAAAAGAATCAAGAAAACTTGGAATGTTAGTTAAAGCCTGAGAGGAACATATTAAGAAATAACAATAAAACAGCATTCCCTACTTGTCTTACTGCATTTAAAGCACTTTTCTCCACTTGCTAATTCATTACACAGAGGTTGATTCTGTTTTGTCTATAAAGTTGCTAAGTGTTCACTAAAACAGAAAATTTTTCAAAAAAACTCTCCATAATTTGCATGTCCTTATGAAATTCTACATAGTGGAACTTCACTTGTAGAATTATAATGTAATCCTGATAATAATAAGAGTAAAAATTAATATCATTATCCTTATCCTAAGGAAAGGGATAGGGCTAATAATGGGTCCAAATAAAATAGGTTAAAAGAGAAAAAAAAAGTCTTTGAATACAGAAATTAGTGATAAAAGTAGAATTAGATTTCCAAATTCTCAACCATGATAGTGATTACTACCATACTCATTTTTTCTCCCTCAAAGGATCTCTTTTTCTTCCTCTTATGTGAATAAGGGTGCCCTTGTGAACTGGGAACTTCCATAACCAGCTAATGTGACGAGCAATGTTTATTTCTTTGTGTTAGGGTCTTTCATACTGCATCTCAGGCAGGTCTGTGGAGCATGACTGCTCCAGGATACCCAACAGAAGAGTTGCACACGACTCTTCCCAAAGTTGCAGTTCATTCTGAGATAACAGTCTTAGGCTAAATTTGCTGTCAGTGATGCCCGATAAAACTCAACCAGGCAAATGTATCATGGAACTAAAACTCAACTTTAATTTAACAAATATTTCCTGTGTGGGTTACACCTAGTCACTGTAGAAGAATCAAGGATACAATAGTAATGGAAATATGAAAACATAGCTCTTGCTCTTGTCTAACAGGCAACTACAGTAAGATCGTATAAATACCAAGATGCAGATAAATACAAGTATGGGAAGTCAGTTACACCAGTAGAAAGACAACTGATCAAAGGGAAGTGATATATTAACAGAGACCTTAAAGATAAGCAGGTATCAGCCAACTGAGAAGTTGAGAGGGAAAAATATAACAGAATGACACAAATATTTACAGCCATTTGCTTCAAAAAATAATACACTAACATGACCTTAAGAGGAGAGAAATCCTAAAGAGAATGAAGAGAAACTTAAGCAGTAAAATCTGATGGCCAATAGGCAAGTCATGACTGACTCTGCAGATGAGAAAAAGATAAAATCTGAGCTGGCTATGTCGAAGCCTTGGAGAGGCTGCTTGGTGCCAGTGAAAACAAGAGAGATTTAAGAAATAGAGGCACCTCCAAAAGTGGGCATGCAGACACGTCATGAAACAAGAAGTTCATGGTTGAAATTCTGTGTAAGACACAGATTAGGGACCTCCTCTCCCACTCATGAAGAAGACCGACTATCCTGTCCCTTCCAGATACTGGACTCAATGACAACAGGCATAGCAGAGGGAGAGAAGTGATATTGCGGATGGAAAAAAAAGGGGGGGAGATTGAATGAAATTCTAATTTCTAGACTGAGAATTCTGGCTCTTTCTTTCCCCCTTGGCAACTAAAGAGCTGGCAGCTAGGTTTATACCCTTCTCGAAGCAAGACTCTGGGAAATCTGACACACATACCACCCCCTCCTCCACCAGCTCAGAAGGACCCAAGGATAATTACAATGGGAGATTCACCAGTGAGGTCGCCTTACCAGATCCCGGATATTGAAGTTCACAGTTTACAAGCCCCACACATGTGTGATGAACTTCCAATCAGCTGTTTAAGCAAGGCCACTGCTGTTTTCCACTTTAACCTCATTTGACTTTTTAAACTATATATTTCAATAAAAGATGGAAAAATAAGTGAAGGAAGAATACTTAAAGCAAAGGATTTTATTTTTATCATTTTAATAAACAAGATAATTAAAAACAGGATTTAAAACAAATCACTGTTGATCCCAATAAAAGTACATGCCAAAATAGGATACCTATTTACTACTGAGTAAAAAGTACTCAACCTGTATATCCATTGACATAGATGGCAACTCCACTAAAAATCGCAGATGCAGTTCCCTCCTTCTGCAAAGCAGCATCTGATCGAAACTGTTCCTCCAATTTCTGGACCTTGGCAGCCATATACCCACCCTAGAATTAAAAAAAAAAGGTAAACTAATCACAAAAGTTATATTTTCTCCCCCACCCCCACCTTTTAAAAAAGCAATTTCAAAAAAAAAAAGTAATTTATATTTGAAAATAAACACACAGAGGACCTTATTCTGTGCTAGTGACCAAGGTATGATGGTGACACAAGGTACAATTATAAACGTAAATCATAGGAGAAGACAATAAAACAGTCAGGTCAAGGAGGACTTTTCTGTCAACTCGATTTTTAATAATTTTATCACATTCTTATAATAATAAGACTTACTTTAAAAAGAGGGGAAAGGTTAAGTCAAGTATAAGAAGTTTAATGCCATGAAATATTGTTCTTATCTATAAATTCAAGCAAAAGTTACACCAAAGTTTAAAACAATTAAAATTTGACAAGTGGTCAAAAAAGTATATTTTAAACTGGCTTCCACTATATTCTTTATATAGGAAACTTAAAAGTAATAATAACTTCAATTAAAATGAAGCAGTTCAACAAACTAGTACAATCCTCCATACATGTAGATAAGAACAGAATAAATGATTCAGTGGCTAACTACTGGATCTAATAAATCTATTTGATGGTAGTTTCATTTCATTTATAGAATTTTCATTCCATAAAATGAACATCAAAAAGAATATAAAAACATTATTTTTCCTACAGACCTTTATAAATCTATGATTCAACCACACTTTTCCTGAACATTGAAATAATTAAACTTAATTGATTTGAATTAATTTATCTTTATGGATAAAGAATTAACAATTAGATGTTTAAAATAAAGCTGTAGGTATGTAGAAGTGAAATATATTTTTTTTCAAAATGGAAATGAGTCCACTGTTTTTGATCAAATATTACATGCTCCCTATCAAAAACATTTTTCTAGAAAGCATAGGAAAATATAAAGAAGAAAATTTAAATTAGCTATGATCCCATTCACTGTTAACATTTTGGGATATTATTTTCAAAGTTTATTTCTATGTCCCAAGGCATAGTAGTTTTACAAAAACAGGATCATATATATATCAATATTCCTTTATAACACAACATTCTTTAAGTCAAGGCCATCTTGCCATGTTAAGAAATACAAAGCTAAGTGTTGCACAGTGTTCCACTGTACAGGGAAAATTTACTTGTCCAATTCCCTATTATTGGATATCAATGCTTTCCAATTTTTCAGTATTATTAGCAATGCTGCAATAAAATTATCATACAATTTTATACACACGAACATTTCAGGAGAAAATTTTGCAAGTTTAAGTGTTAAAGTCTGAACTTTCAATAAATTGTGAAAATTCAAGAGTTGGTGTCTAAAGTGATTTGCAACTTAGAAAATGTCTTACTAAAAGAAGAATGAGAAATACCTAGATAATTCAATATAATTATTTTTATTCTTTTAAAACACACCCATTTTTCCCAGCCATCATTTTCAGCTCGCCTCCTCCATCCACCTCGTCTCATGGTGGGGCTTCTGTATTAAGGGGAAAAAAAATGTCAATTTTATAACATAATGTATATGTCAATTAAAAAAATGAGAAAATAAATCAAATGTTCAATTGATAAAAGTTAAAAGTATAATACTGAGGAAACTTTTTCCAAAGCATATCATTCTACTGATTCACAAGGGAAATTTATTCCTAAAAATAAGTATAGACGTACTTCTACAGTTAAGTATCAGGTTTAAATTATAACCATTTTCAAATTTTAACAGGAAGGACTTTTATGCATTCCTGAGTACCAATCCTAACACCCACTTACATTAAAAAAAAAAAAAAAATTCGCCAAATCAGACAAACATGGGTTGTGCTTGTTAACAATTAGTGTTAACAGAACCTAAGAAAACATATTCCTTCATGACCTAACCTACAATATAAATTGGCTCTTAAACTCTGTCTCCGCTATTACATGCTGGACACATAAGAGTACATTCATAGTGTAATTCACCTATTACACAAAAAGCCCTAAAAGAAGTAAATTAAAATGATGCATCTAATGGACGTGATGCAGTACTATTATCACTGACAATAAACTAGTAAATATGGCATTTTCCTTAAGGCAACACTTGACCAACTGTACAATAAAAACCACCAAAATGACCAAATGATAGCTCATGTCAAGTGTCAGCTGCCTTAGTGGCTAGCAAGGTATAAATCAACTCAAATCAAAACCTAAGTCTAACTCAAATGGCTACATCGTGAGACGTGACTGCATTATCCTTCACAAAATCAACACGATCTCCATTTAGGTATTTTTCTTCTAGTAACTATATATAGGTTAATATCAAATAGTTACCATATATCACTGGAGAAGACTTATACATTATCTAAGTCAGTTTTGATATGGTTTATAAAAATGTTATTGAATAACACCTTAAAACATGACACTTTATCCACACACACCAGCAGATATTATCTTTCAAATATTTCTATTCTTGGTATATTGTGGGATTTATAGGCGTTTAAATCCTATAATTTCTCCCTGATGACATTTATACTAACTATGAATTTTTCCGTTTACTCATAAAAGGTGCCTAAAACATATGCAGAGATATACTCAATGAGAAATCCAACAGAGACAAGGGGCATGTGCAATGGGCTCAGAGAAAAGAGGCAAAGTGATTCACTTTGATCAGGTGTTGTGGGTGCTGAGGGAGAGAAGAGGCCTGTGTTTTGAAATTCAACAATGGCAGGAGCATGGCTACCAAATGTACATCATGAGTCCCAGAACTGCCTTAATTTGCTCTGATAACTACTGCTTTTTTCAAGAGGCTTTGTCCAGTCCCTCACGACTTCTCTCCTTGACTTAAGGGAGTCCGGGAAATGTGTTAACACATAGATCTTGATTTCATATAAACTGAATCCATACATCTATTCTAAGAAGTGAAGAGTTTGAGAATTCAGGCCATTATAGGTGAAGGATGCACACTCACAAAAATTAAATACAACAATTAATCTGCTAAATGAAGTAAATTAAAGAACAAACTATATTTTAAAGGTTTAATTCATTTGCCCAATCATTTAAGAGCCTCACTTAAGATCTATGGGGTATTTACTGGGAAAGGACAACACAAAATCCTTATCAATGGTTTAATGAGGGTAGACAAGTACGAAACAAAGTTGTAATAAGTAAAAAACCATAAAACAGATTTTAAAGATCCTTTCCCTATTCCAAAGAAAGCTATCTCATACAAATGTTTAAAGCTCTAAAACATAAAAGGAATGAAAGACTGAAATAGTAATTTCATCATTTCCACTAATTTGAGCCATGTACAACAAACTCTGGTCAAGGATTCAAATAATATGCCCCCAAAAAAGAGGGAAAGGAAACAAACATTTTTCATTTTACACATTCAAATTCTACTTTTCAAAAGATCCTATAACAAATAGTAAACTAGATAATTTGGACCCACCTTCCCGCTGAGGAACAGAAAAGCCACACAAAACATTGTTTTTAAAAAATTGCCTCAAGGCACAGACGGCCTAGCAAATAATGAAGACTTTTACTGGGACAAGATTTATAGGTGACACCTACCACCACCCATGCCCTACCTCTCCTCGCCAAACTGGGACAGCTTTCCCCTCTAAGGGCATTTGGCAATTCTAAAAGAGTGGCTGAGAGGCTGGGCAATGTTTTTGACAAAGTGCTAAGGGAACAGAAGTTGGATTTCAAGGGTCTTCCAAGGATATAAATCTGCACACTTGGGATGAGGACCCTAGGAGTAAAAGTAAACTGAAAGTAGGCAGACCAAGCTTTGCAGAACATGTATCTTGCCTTAGACTATTTCGATTTCTGTAAGCAGATTTAGGTGATCCTGGACAGCCAATGCTTGGAACATCTGGTGAAGCAAATGTAAATCCTCAATGGAGGATGACAACAATCCCTGAACTCCACATACTTCCATGAACAATTCTGCAAACATAATGTCTCGCCTGCAAATAAAAACTAGGCACACAAAGAAGATCATGAGTTAGAGCCAACAGAAACAAAGAATAAATAGACGTACGTGGACTGCAGATACTGAACTTAACACAGACTTTAAAGTAAGTATGCTTACTATGTTCAAGGAGATAACAGGCAAGTACTGGAATACTGGTAAAGAATTGGAAAATACATAAAATAAGTAAATGGTAACTCTAAAATTGAAAGATACAATACCATAAAGAGGTAAGAGCACGTGAACAGATAAGAGCAAATAAAGAACAGCTAAAAATAAGTCAGAAGTATCCAGAAAAAGCAGTGGCACAGAAGAATAGAGAATATGGGAAGGAAAGAGATACAGAGGATACTTGAGCAGGTCTAACAAGTGAATATGAGGAGGAGTGGGGATGAGGAGAAAAAAAGAAGTTATATTTGGAGAAATTATGACTAAAATATTCTAAAACTAATTAAAGATACCAAGCCACAAATGCAAAAAGTCCAATGAACCCAAAGCAGGAAAAAATAGAAATCTTTATGTATATATATATAAGTATGGAAAACTAAAGACAGAAAAAAACATTAAAAGCTGTCATGAGTAGAGAGAACAGAGAAATTCCACTCGAAATACTCCAAGGTGCAGAAATTAGACAGCTATTTTTCAACAGAACCAACAGAGCTAGAAGACAACAGTGCTGAAAGAAAATAATTACTAACTTAAAATTCTATACCCAGGAAAAAACTCAGTTACAAAAGAGGAAATAAAGGCATTTCAGGCAAATAAAAACAGAAGCTAATGACACCAGCAAACCTGCACTAAAGGAAATCCTAAAGGACGTCCCTCAGGTGGAAGGAAAACTCTCCTACAAGGAAGGTCAAAACTACAGGGAAAAGACACAGCAAGGAAAACAGTAAATATCTGGGTACATCAGTGTAAGATACTGACTGAATAAAAATACCATAATGACAATCAGTTACAGTCTGTTGCATAATATACAGCATAAGTGAGTCAAAGGATTATGAAAAAAGACTAAGGGGAACTGTTTCTAGTCTAGGCTTGACCATTAACTGGTTTCACTGACCAGTAAACATTCACCTCAGGGTCTCAGTCACCACATTATCCGGGTCTCTAACTGTAACTCTAAAAGGTAGACTTCTGTCAACTTAAATAAAGAGGTAAACTAAGGAAGCTTGCATGGGTTTATTTGGGAATAGCAGAGGAACTGCATACTGTAGCAAGCCACAGTGAGTTCACTGAGGGTTTTGGGGTGGGGGGACAGGGAGCTGTATTTAGGGGCAAGGAGTGGGTGTCTAGCCAGAGTCCAAGCAGCAGGTTTACTGGCATGAAAATGGGAGGGATTCTTGGTCAGGAGAGAAATCTCGGATCTCGGTCTTCTGTAAATCAGGCATTTATAGGAAATCAATCTTTCAGTTCTTAAGTTTGTTCTTCTGAGGGTACACACGTGAGGTTCTCCGTTTCATACCCTCCAGTTCCATTTCAGATTGAAATCTTTTCACAGTTCCCTTTGGTGCACTACACAAGACTTTGGTGCTCTACACAAGACACACTCAAGACCTATTTCTGGAAACTAAATGTAAAAAATTAAAACTACTATATCCATATTTAGTAATGTACTTCAATTTCAGAAATTTGATTATATAACAATGCTGATGGTCTACTTTATGCTGACTCCCTTTCCTTATACCTGAAAGATTCGAGGCAACTTGTCCTACCAAATTCATTTAAATAATCTATATATAGACTGAGATGGCCTATGACAACAAATTAGGGGTAAAAACCTAACTGTGGATCTAGCCTTTATTGAACACTAGGAGTAGCAACTTATCAACCCTGTCACTGTTGCGTGACATCAACTGTGTAACTTTCTTTTTTCAGAGGACAGATGCCAGATAGTTCAGTAGATAGCTATAGATTATACTTCATGGCATAGATAATTACAGCATCTAAGAAATAATTTAGAGCCCATGTATAAGAGGCACCACATTAGACTACCTACGGATCGAAGTCAATAGAATATGACTAGTGTGTAAAGTGCCATACTATACGAGGCACTACTAAGACCGACAGGCTTTTCTGTATGAGTTCTAAAATTATGTGATCTAAAAAACAAATGAGCACTAATCAAGGAAATACTAGCCCTACAAATAACTTTAAGGGAAAGATTTTAGGCAGGAAGAGTAGGGGGGAAAAAAACCAATCAACCCTAGAGCATAAAGCAAACTAAACAACCTGTAATGCTGGCCAAGAGCAGTAACAGACCAACCTGCATGCAGCAAAGCTACCTGACAACGTGAACTGTGTGGCCAAATAAAAGGGAGACGCAGGTGATGGATGTAAACGATAAGCAGATTTAGAACACACTGTGCGCTGACATGTACACAGCACCAAAGACTGTTCACACATCATTCACTTTGGTTAGACCTAATTCACCTCCTTTCTGAATGGAATATGAATATGTTGTACAGATAGAATTGTCACTCGCCCTGTATGTGACAGGAAGTCGATAGATGCTTGTTGAAGAAAGAAAATGAATTTACATATAAAGCATGGTAACAACAGTAGTATGTCCCAAGTACAGTATATCCCAATATCTCAATATTCAAAACTCTACCTTGCATATTTAGTTTACTCTTATCTACTTTTTATTTCTCGTATTTTAAAACAGTTTTCTAAGTATTATTCACAACAGAATTCTGCGCTGATTAATAGATAGCAATATGATAGACACTCTCTCCCCAAAAAGTAGCATACACACAAGATCAGCAAATGATACATGCTTTTGGTACTAACAAGAACCACACAACTGGTGGGATTAAGTGTAAATCATTCAGTGGGTTCTAGAGACTACAGTGCTCCTTGGTAGCGTGAAATCAAGACATAAAACTCTATTCTTGAAAACTAGTTTGCCATAAAGCAAAACCTTGCTTCTGCTAACGAGTAAGGATCCTTGAAAAAGGGGCTTTACTGATGCCTCTGACACCAAGGGGCAAGTCCTCCATTTCTAGAAGAAAACAAGGGAAAAGCTTCATGACTTTGGCTTCAGTAACGATTCATTAGATACATCAAAAGCACAAGCAACAAAAGGAAAAACAGATAAATTAGACTACATCGAAATCAAAACTATGCAACAAAAGGACACAATTAACTAAGTTAAAAAGCAACCCACAGAATGGGAAAAAATGTGTGAAAACCATCTATCTGGTAAGGGATTAGTATGCAGAATATATAAAGAACTCCTACAACAATAAAAAAAACAAATAACCCAATTTAAAAATAGACAGAGGATCTGAATAGCCATTTCTCTAAAGATAAACAAATGGCTAACATTGCTAATCATTACAGAAAATACATGGAAACCACAATGAGATACCACCTCACACCCATTAGGATGGCTACTATGGAGAAAACAGAAAATACCTAGCATTGGAGAGGACGTGAAGAAATTGGAACCCTCGTCCACTGCTGGTGGAAATGTAAAATGGTGTAGCCACTATGGAAAACATTACGGCAGTTCCTTAAAAAATTAAAAATAGAATTACCATATGATCCCATAATTCCACTTCTGGGTATATGTCCAAAAGAATTGAAAACAAAGTCTAAAAGAGGTATTTTTCACCCATGTTAACAGCAGCATTGCTCACCACAGCCAAAAGGTGGAAGCAACCCAAGTGTTCAGTGATAGATGAAAGGATGAGCAAAATGTAGTATGTACATACAATGGTATATTTTCAGCCTTAAAAAAGAAGGAAATTCTGAAAGATTCGCAACAAGGATGAACCTCGAGGACATCACGCTAAGTGAAAGAAGCCAGTCACAAAAACACAAATGCTGTAAGACTCTACATATATTAGGTACCTAGAACAGTCAAATCCATAGATAGAGAAAACAGAGTGGTGGTTGCCAGGGGTTGGGGAAGGGGGAACTAGTGAGTTGTTTAAGAGGCAGAGTTTCAGTTTTGCAAGACAAAAGAGCTCTGGAGATTGGCTGCAAAACAAAGTGAACATACTTAACACTGCTAACCTGTATGTACACTTAAAAATCATTAAAATGGTATATTTTATGTTTACAGGTATTTTACCACAATTAAAAATCTTTAAAATAAAACACTTAAAAAAAAGCAAAGAAAATTAAAAAAAAAAAAAAAAGACTTCAGACACTGGAAACACTCTGCAGCCTGCTGGGATCACAAAGACTGACTGGCAACCTACAGGAAAGGACCAGTAGATGTTCAGCTGGAGTACAAAACTGGGAAAGGGGCCATTTCCCCACAAAGCCTGTATGGCAGCAGCTAGAATTTTCTTGGAGGAAAGGGCAATGGGAGGCCAAGTACTGTCCTTACGATTGACGAAGTAAATGAAGCACTGGCACAGTTGCTAATGAGGTTGACAATGCCTGCTCCAATGCGCTCTTATTTGTCCTTAAACAGAAAGGCTTTAACACAAGATAAACAGATTTTTAAGTGACATTTAGGTACGATAATACAGGTGGTTTTGAGGTTTTGTTTCAAAGCAACCAGAGACCATCACTGTTTAAGGCTACAGTTGTCACACTGCTGAAGTTCTAAGGGCACAAGAGAGATTCTTGAACTTCATAACCCAGAGAAGTAGAATCTTCTTCCAGCCCCACCCCATACACTGCAGTCAGGTTTTGACTTCGAAGAGACCCTCACCAAGCTATTTAAAACAAAAAATCAGACACCCAGGTGAAGGGAATTAAGTCCTTCTAACAGTTTCCAAGAAGCACAACTACTGGCTCTAGTCTCACATACATACTCACTTTTAGTGATTTGAAATCAAGATGACAGTTTATTTTAACCTGGTTTTTCCATCTTTGGTATGTTGAAACATTTTCCTATTACCAATTTTGTTCTGCTTCAATGAAACAATTCCTATACTATATTAGATATCATCTCAACAATACCAAAACAAAAAAACAAAACAAAAAAACCACATAGCATTCAAAGAACTTTAATCTGCCAAATAAAACTGGCTATAATATACACAGCACTTTAAACAAGTTATAGGCTTCGATTCATAAGCCTTTTCTAGAAGTGAATCCGGTCTTTCCATCTTCCCTTGAGACATTCTCTATTATCTTCCCAATTACTGATTTGTGTTTATACACTGCTTTGTTGTGCTGTCATTCTTGCTAGGTGTATCTTTGAAAAAATTGTTTTTCCTGCTCTATTTATAAAAGCAATACATATTCATTGTACAAAACTAAGAAAATACAGGAAACGAAAAAGAGAAAACGACCCATATTCCCACCATCTCTTTAAAAAATGCACCTGTTGACTGATACTTTATATTTCCTTCCTTTCAGTATTGATTTTAACATTTAAAATTAAATTCTTTAAACACATCACTAGTAATATCTCACATTTCCATAGTACTTTTATTTTTCAAAGCGGTCTTTACATCAATTTATCTTTACAACACATCTGTGGAGCAGGTAGGCCAAGTACTAGCTATTTTGCACACAGATGCCTTCTAAGGCAGAAAGGCAAAATAAAATGCTTGATAAGGCTGCACTGCTGGTTTGTGGTATAAAATCACACTTATCTTTTACAAAACTATGTCTCAAAATCTTCAAGGGAGAAATCAACAATGCTACAATACAATAAACTGCTGAAAAGTGAGGAAGAACACTAGCCTAATACAATTCAACTAAACAGATGCATCTTCACTGGGGAACCAAGCATCTGTCCGCATTAGACACAGCAGCAGCCATGTGACAGAAAAATTAAGGAGGAAATACGGTCCTACAAATAGGTTCCATCTAGAACCCCACGGGAAGCAGTCCATGTTCATGAGAGTAGAGACAAAGTAACAGTACCAATTTTGTTACTAACTGGTTCTCTGACCTTAAGCAAGTCACAAGCAGTCAGATCTCAGTTCCCTCATTTGCGGATAGAGTTAAAATGGACACATTCTAGTCTCTTGCAGTTTTTAAAATGTATAAAAGGTTTTTAAGATGAAAAACATACATATTATGCAACTGTCTATACTTCCAAAAAACAAGATGTGCCTATCCAAAGATGTAGCTGTACAGTAAAAGATTAACCTTACTCAGAGAGGTCTAGCCTTTGCCCTTTGTTTCTGGGAGGTGATCTCTAGGCCCTTGGAATGTCCTGCCTGATTAATGTCTTTGTTTATCTAGGAGCCAGGAGACACTGGGATGGTCTAACAATGTGATTTAAGGTGGAATTTCCCTGCCATACACTATCAATCTACCTGAGGAGCTGGAGACAAAAGGCCAACTACATGAGCAGTCAACCACAGCTGTATGACCAGATTCCAATAAAACCTCTGGACACTAACTAAGCCTTGAGCTTTTCTGGTTGGCAATTCTTTGTGCACCTTGTCACTCATTATTGCTGTAAGTGAGTGCTGTACCAGACTCCAGTGGGAGGGGACAACTGAGTCCATACATGGAACCCACCTGTGTGTCCCATGCACCTTTTCCTTTCGTTGATTTTAGTCTGTATCCTTTCAATGCAATAAATTGTAATCATGAATACAACAGCTTTCGCGAGTTTTGAGTCCTTCTAGTTAATTACTAAACTTGAGGGCAGTCTTGAGGATCCCCAAACTTGCAGTTGGTGTCAGAAGTGAGGATGGTTTTGGAACTTCTACACTGTGGAGTGGCAAAATGACAACTGCCCTCCAATACCCATTCTCCCTTTCTTTTGGTAATAAAACGGCTCTCCTGCTCCCTCCTGGTAGGAAGAAGGGCTGCCAGCCAGACCACGTCTCCCAGGCTGAGTTAGATCAGGAGCACCCAAGGGCAAAGCGATGTGCGGAAGATCAGTTCCTTGTTCTTAAAGGAGGTTGTTCGCTTCTTTGTCCGGAATGCAGTTGAGAGGTAATCTGGTTTCACCCATGAGAACGATGACAATACGCTAGGGGACAGGTAAACAAACAGAAGGAGATTGGAACCCTAAATGACCTAAAAAAGGGGGGGCAGTCACTCATCCACTGTGGACTGCATGCCTACTATTACAGGAGAAGCTTCATTATTTTTTGAATCACTGTGTTCTGAAGTCTCATTACAGCAGCTTAGTCTATACCCTAAAGAATACAGGTACATTTCAGCATTTTAATATTATGATTTAGTCAATACTTAAAACACACACACACAGAGATAAAAAGAGAGACAAACAATAAGATGTATAAGAAAAACATCTGGAGATATTAAAAATGAAAATGCATAACAAATATTTATAATGTCGCAGTCTGAGAATGATCTTATTAAAAGGAAAGTTTCTATTCCAAACAACTAAATACAACAAAGAATTTCCTCTCCCTTGGTTATTTTCAACAACAAAAATACAAAAAGATGATCGACTAAAAATCAATCATTTGAATACAAGTTGAAGGAGGCGTTCTAATAATTTTCTTCCCCATAATTAGATCTACAGAAGGGAAGGGAACAAAACAAAGACACTGTTTTAATAAAGTACAACGAACTGCCTTCTCTGGTTTTCCAAAATGCAGCAAAGTTAACTGGTCTCCAAACACCTTCCCTCAATTTTTCTGACTTCCTGACCTCCAATCCATGTGCCCCAAATACTTAGCAAACATTTCCACTAGGATGTCCTACATGCATGTCTAAAACCAGGGATCAAGCTACCAAGAAAAATAAAAGAATGTTCTGGCGATGACATGATACAAAAAAAAGTCTAGAAGTAAAAAGCAGTGGCCCTCACCAGGGAGGAGTGGTATATTCTCACAGGAAAGCCAAACGATTACCCACAGAAAAGTTCAAGGCTGCAGTGAATCAAGGACTCCAAAGACCACAGAGCTTGGTAACAGGAAAAGAACTTAGCTGGAAAATAAAGGAGATTATAATCTCAGAGAAGAGAGGACTGTGTCCAGAGCAGTGGTCCTCTCACATCTGAGCAGGCATCAGAATCACTAGGAGGGCCTGTGATTTTGCCAGTAGGGTATCTAGAGTGGGAATTCAGAAGAGACACAAGTACAGTAGGTCACAGATAATGTGACACAGTACCAAAGTAGAAAAAAATGTTGCTACAAAGTGCAATAAGTAGAAAGAATTTCACAACAGAACTACAAGCAACTCACTAGTTGAAGGTTTTGATTAGATTACAAGTGACAAGATCTCTTCTGTCCTGTGTCCCATTTCCTCTTCCCCCAACTACAGGTACGATATAAACAGTGGTTCCCAACATTTTTGGCACCAGGGACTGGTGCTCCTATGAGAATCTAACGCCTGATGATCTGAGGTAGAGCTGAGCTGATGATGCTAGTGCTGGAGAACAGTTGCAAATACACATGAAGCTTCGCTAGCTCATTCGCCCGCTGCTCATCTCCTGCAGTACAGCCCAGTTCCTAACAGGCCACGAACCGGTGCTGGTCCATTGACTGTAATTTGCAGTTTTCAAGGTGAGTAAAGTAAGTATAAACCACGATCCAAAGTTATCAGAGAAAAAAAGATTTCCATAATAAAACTACAATACAGGAGCCTACATTAGGGGCACTGAAAAAATGCAATAAATGCAGAGAAAACAGCAGTAAGCCTCACACAGAAGAGATCTTGTCACTTGTAATCTAATCAAAACCTTCAACTAGTGAGTTGCTTGTAGTCACGTAATTGTCACATAAAGGTTATGTTACATTGTCCTGGAACCCTCTGAATGTTTTTCAGAAATAGAATCTATTAGTTAAGGTATAGAGAGCTAAATAAACTGTTACATTAAAGAATGTAGCATCTCCTTAGAATGTCATATCATCTTAAGAAGTAGTGGGGTGTTGTTTTTAGTATATGCTAGGGAGTTCTTGGCATGAAGCAAGGTTTGGAAAGAGGCCAGGAAGCAAAGCAGTGGCAGTTTCTTAAACATTCTACTCCCTGTTTTCTCTTGCAGTTACACTTAATAGAAGGATTTGTGAAAAGAGAGATTGTGAAAGGTGGAACTGATAGCATATCTAGAAGAGTGAGTTCAACCATGTTTTTGAATTGCAGTTCCCAGTGGGATTTGTTTTTAGTTGTGTGTCTGTGTGTGGGCCAGTCCACCTTGAGTTCTGAGATCTGATGTGTGTGTGGGTACAGTCACCAGGTGAGGATGTCTGCCAGATCTAGTGCAGGTTAGCTCAGGAGTCAGAACCTCTGTCTCCCAGCTAGCCCTTTTCCCCATCACTTAAGTACACAGACTTAGCCTTCCTTTCCTAACTTTCTACAAAGTAAGGTTCATACTTATTAGTAAGATATTCAGAGCCTTCTCTTATATTTCCTCAACTACTTTTGTTAGTTTCGCAGTCACTACCTCTGGCCATGTGTCCTGAATACCAGTCAGTCCCAGAATGTTACCTTAAATGTCACAAATTGGGCACATCTGTTTCCACTTATGCAGCTACTACCTGCTGCATAAGAACTTGGCTGCCTTTTGTCCCTGGTTCCTGGGATACTCTAAACCCTCGGAATTTCACAGCTCTTAGAAGTATCTCTATGAACCATGGTAGGTCCGTAGGACCACAGCTTTTATATAAATAGGTGACTCCCAGTGGGCCCCTAGTTGCAGGATGGGGAAGACATCATGCTAGAAAGGTCCACCATGTGATCAGAGGGTTGGGGTTTTAACCCACACAGCAGCTTGACCTCCTGGAAAAGGACTAGGGCTAGAGGCTGAATCCAACCTCAAGGCCAATAATTCGATCACATCTGTGTAATACATTCCAAAAAAACTCTGGACACTAAGGCTTGGGTGAGTTTCCCTGGCTGGTCATCATACATCAATGTAGCAGGAGGATGACAAGTCCTAAGGACACGCAATCTTCGTGTATGGGACCCTCTGCAGGCTTCTGTCTATGTATCTCTTGATTTGGCCAGTCTCAATTTGTCTCCTTCACAATAAAACTGTAAAACGGCAATTACAGCATCTTCCTGAGTTGTCATTTTAGCAAATTATGACACCTGAGGGAAGTGGGAACTCCCAATTTACAGCCAGTTGGTCAGCATGCAGGTGGCCTGGAGTGAGGGTGTCTGAAGTGAGGAGAGTCCTGCTGACTGTGCCCTTAGACCTGGGATACCTCCCCGAACTTGGGGTAGTTGGTGACACCACTGTACTGCAGCTACAAATCAGGACATACTGCCCCACCTCTTCTCAGGACTCTTAGAGGAACTGAATGAGAAGTGAAAGCACTTTATAAGGCATGAAGCATTACAAAAAGTAAAGGACTTCTTTGGTTATGCTCTCAAAAATAATAAAAAATGGTTAAAATTCTTTTAAAATTCAGAATTGTCCAGCTGAAATTTTTAAAAAGGTTTAAAATAAAGAGCCAATCAGTCATCACGAAATAGAGCTTATTATAAGACAAAATTCAGAGCTTTGATAAAAAGCATTTAAAAAAAATGAGAAACCTAAATCATAATTTCAATTACATAATTAAGACCAGTGCCTAAATGATCAAAATATAGTAAGTCAAGTCCATTCTTAGTAATCTTGAGTGTAGAAATGGTAGCATTTAGAAAATTTAAGATTGAGGTAATTTCTGACCAAACCTCCAAAAAGCTCTTTTTAGTCTTGGCTATGATCAGGAATGATTGAAGCAAGTGACCAACTTTTTGGTTACTAAGTTACTGGTTCACATCATAACCAACTTTGTTGCCCATCCCTAATTAATCCTTTAGTTCAAGCATAAAGCCGAGACATCAGACTGATCTGTAAGGATTTCTCAAATCATCCTCTGTGCATAAGGCAGCTACCTGCCTACATGAGAAAGCATAATTTCTAACTGCACTATAAGGACAAGAATTTTTTCTACTACTTTAAAAACAATGATAGGAAAAAAAAAAAAAAAAGAAAAAATCCTCGAGATTTTAAATCACAAATTTACAAGAATATACTGCTCAATTT